AGAATTCCAAGCCAGTCAATTTCACCTCCGCATATCCTGTGCTATATTATGTGAATGTCACCTCTCTATAATTTATCGTTTGCCCCTTGTTTTGGCTCTCAGGAAGCCATTCAGATCCAGAGTTCAACTGCGCATAACACAATGCTACCTGTGTTAACATTACCTTTCAGCATAACAGTGAAGTCCCATACTTTGAAATAGAATCTCCCAGCCGTGAAACACAAATAAAGCCCTTTCCTACCCCAAGCAAGACCAGCCCTGTAAATGAACTGCACACAAAGAGTGAACAAACAGTATAGAATGTCCTCCTGCTTTTGTGCGCTGAAAATCCAGTGTTTCAGCTTACATACGGCTGCCTCTCCTATCTATTCCATCAGTGTGAGATACCATGTAATGCGAATCTTTGCCTTCCATTTCCCACCCTTTTCCTTTTTAAAAGTCAGTGTGTGCAAGAGAATTAGTCAACCACTTCACATTGTTATAGTCAAGTGAAGAAAGCATCGTACAGAATTGCAAGATTTAAATCTAGTTGATGAACAGGCAACCACTTTTTGAGTAACCTGTCCAGACATAATCCCCCTCACATTTTTCCATGATCTAAAAGCACTTCAGGAACACTAAGCATCCCACCAGTATGAAATATTTGGAGAATCATTAACATTATCAGTCTAGACTTAGCTTGATTAATATCCAATTAAATGGATCCTAGTTTAAAAGCCATATATCAAAATGATTACACCACTCAGTTCAATATATTGTTGTAACGTGGTCTGTTTAGAGTTCAAAATCAAATGTACTGCAAGAATGTTCTATGCCTGGCTGATGGCAAAGGGTTTTTTTATGCTTCCAAATAAACCCTGAGTGCTTAAGTGTAGTATGACTTTTTAAACTTTGCAGTTACTCAACATTTGGGATCACTGATGAGACAGAGCAAACTCTCCCAAAAGTTATAGATACATTCTTTGTTTTGGTTTTTTTTTTTTTAAGTAAAGGATCACAGTATCATAAAGCCTCCACTCTATTTTACTCCTTCAGCCTATTGTACTTGAAATTTGTCAATTCTGTTTTTCAAAATGTGACGATCATTTGCGTATGAGTCATTGGAGGCATGGATTTTTTAAATATCACTCAGTTCTGGCCCCAGTTAAATCATAATCCTCTACATCAGTCCAAGTGAAATAGAGCTGTTTTCCTAACCATGTTCTCTATCAGCCCCCAAACTGAAACCCAAGCTGTATGCAGACTTAACCCAATTTTAGTCTGAGCAGAATTCAAACAGCCAATTATAAAAGTTTTGCTAAACTAGCAAACAAAAACACTCAATCATTTCTCACTTGTTCATTCTTCTTCCAAACTATGAATCCCAAAGATTAAGAGTGAGCAACCCTTCCATAGCAAGTCCACACATTCTAAAACTTTTCTGAATTCTGAGAGCTGCAGGAACAACACAGTGATGAGCTGGAGGAACAAGCCCTTTTTGACATAATGCAGAGTCACAGAAAAACCCTAGAACCCAAGGTTAAAAAGTAACCAAGCCTAGTATGTTGTACCAATGCAGCCAATGGGTTAGTAAATGATCTAGTTAAGTATAATATGGACACCGTATAGCTTCTTGCTTATTTAAGCTAAAACTGTACTACCCTAAACCAGCAGTGTGCTACCACATTTCAATTAGACAATCTTAGGGGCCAGGGGACTGGACTACAAAACAAGAGACATGGGATGCAGGTGGCCCACTCCTGTCACATACACATATTCTTGTATTTTGTAAAATATAGTGGGGTCCTGAATCAGTCTTACATTTGTGATGCCATAGAAATTATCATGCAGCAGAAGATGGCTTTGTGCACAATCTAGAACATTACCATTCCCAAGGCACCACTTCTACTAAGCAGAACTCCTTCAGTTCCTTGCAGCACATCACTAAGCTAAAAGCAATGAAAGAAATTGGGCACCAAGCTGAGAATTCTGGGAATTGAAGTCCACTTATCTGGAAGCTGCCAAAGTTTGGGACCAGTGGAACAGGAAGGATAAGTTAACATTTTTGAGTTCTAATTTTCTGAGTTGAAAATATATTCATAATTGATTTTAATGAATGTGATGGACCTGGCAAGCCATCAAAATAAACATTATTTTATTCACCTCCACCTCTCACTCCATTGATACTATAGGGATGAAACTGGTCTCTCTTTTTTTTCCTCCATTTTTCCACAACCAATCATGAATAATCCACGGACTTCCACATACATTACTGAACCTCTTCTGTCATACTGTTTGCCTATGTTAGAAGTTTCAAGAAGGAGGACACACTGCTCCAGTGGGGAATCTGAGAAGAATTTTATTGATTGATTGATCATATTTGTATAGCCGCCCATCTCACAAGAGAGTGATTCCAGGCAGTGTACAACACTCAATTAAAAAGACCCAATAAATACATATAAAACAATAATTAAAACTATAAAAATTATTTAAAAAACACACAAAACAGGAGAGGATGATGTTAACTGTAGTAAAGGAGCCATCACAAATTCTCCCCAGTCTCCTGGGAGTCCCAAACCTGATCACATAGCCAGGTCTTGAGGGACCTGCGAAATGTTAAGAGGGATGGGGCTAACCTCACTTCTGGGGGGAGAAGATTCCACAATGCAGGGGCCACAGCAGAGAAGGCCCACCTCCTGGGACCCACCAAATGTAATTCCCTGACAGTTGGGACCCACAGCATGCCTTCTGTGCCAGACCTGGTGGGGCGAGCAGATGTAATCAGGAAGAGGTGGTCCCTCAAATAACCTGGCCCCAGATAACAGGGCAAGACTCCTCCCTAGGCATCTCCACCAGAACTGCAGGAAAGCCAACGTCCATCTGTGAATGAATCCAAGCAATTTTGTCCAACAGATGCTGAGCAAATTCCTCTGCATGCCCTTGCAAGAGGTCCTCTGAGCCCCTCTTACCCAGGAGGGCTTGTGTCACCTGAAACAGGGCTGCGGAGCAACTATCTGCAGACACGATAAGAGCAGAGGAGTAATGACACTTCGCCACCCTTACCGCAAATAGGTAGGCCTTAATAGTGGCTCTGACCCATGTTTGGTCGAATTCATCTCTCATCGAGTGCCAGCAATGTGCTAGACATCTTTTTTCTCATTTCACCTCCTTCACCTCTTCCATAAACCACAGGGAGTGTCGGGATCCCCAAGAGGGGAGAGATCACATGGGCACGATCTGATCCAAGGCCTCAGCCACCCCCTTATTCCAAGTGGCAGCCAGGGCTTCAGATGGACTGTGCAGCAAACCAGCAGGAACAATCCCCAGCTCCCTCTGGAACCCACCTGGGTCCATTAGTCGCCTGGGGAGGACCAACCTAATAGGTCCAGTCTCCCTGCAGTGGATAGTGGCGCTGGAAAATCCCATGGTAATTAGGGCGTGACCTGACCATGACAAGGGGGACACTGAAAGCTCCCCCAATTTCCGATCACATAACCACTGCTCCAACAGGAACATCCAGTATGGCCACTGTCCCGTGTCAGGCCCCGGATGACCTGGGATAGGCCAATGGCCACCAAGGTGGCCATGAACTCCCAAGCCACCTCAGATCCCGCTCCTAGAGAAGGCAGATTGAAGTCCCCCAAACCATACCTCTGGGGAACTCCACTGTCAGCCCAGAAATGGTGTCAAGGAGCTCAGGCAGGGAAGTTGCTGTGCAGCAGGGAGGCTGGTACAACAGCAGCAGTCCCAACTGATCCCTGGAGCCCAACTTAAGGAACAGGGTCTCACATCTGGTGATCTCTGGTGCAGCACCCCTGAAGGCCATAAAGGATTCCCACATGACAATCGCCACACCTCCACTGCTACCCCAGGATCTCAGCTGATGCCACACCCAAAACCCAACTGGACGTAACTCTGAAAGGGCAACCACCCCCTTCCAGATCCAGCCAGGTCTCAGTGATACATGCCATGTCAGCCCTCTCATCAAAGATTAAATCACTGATGAGGGCAGTCTTATTACAGACCAACCTAGCATTAAGAAGAAGCAGCCGGAAGCCAGGGCCTTTGAAGATTTGCTGACAAGGCACCGGGGCTGAGACTGAAGAGCTGGAGTGCAAAACCGATATAAGACAATGGTCCCATGTTCCCTGAGACCTGTCTCCCACCACATCTCCCCATAATACTTCGGCCTGCCCCCATCCCCTCAATGGCAGCCCCATTTCCATATCCAAGTCCCTCAGTTCCCAAGACTGAGAAGCACCTGTTGTCCTCACCAGCCATCCCAGGAGGGGAAGCCAGGTGCCCTGAAGCACTTTGGCTTTATCAGCTCTCAGCGCCATCAAGGTATCTCGCAACCACCTCCCCACTTCACTGCAACACAGTCACACATGCAAACATTCACAGGCACACCTCCCCTACTGTTCCCACCAGCAGGTAGAGGGCGTCCTTCCCATTCACCCTACGTCAATTCCTCCTCGGACTCTCACCCAGAGGAAGGAACTCACACATTCACACACTCTCACACCCCACTAACTTCCAAGGCACCCCCACCCTGCTGCTCCCACCAGCTGGTGGAGGCTCCCATCCCATCACCCCCACTAAATCCACTCCCTGGCTCTCACCCAGAAGAAAGGGAAAAAGGAAGGGATCAATACACAGTTCACAGTGGGAAACCCACGGTTCAACTCTCAGGCACTTCACTATTAAATAGGAGCTGCAGCGTGTATACCCCTTAGAAAGGAATTAAAATATAAAACTAAGAAGTACAGTGAAAAGTATACTCAGCAGTAACAACTACTGGTATTACCTGGACCATTTAAGCAGCAAATAAGGCAAAACCATTTTCTTTTATTTGGTAGTTTGCCTCATATTTAACAGGCTAATGGTCCTCTCATTTTGGTACTGGATCATTGTCATGGCTTACTTTATTCAATTTTGACAAATCAGGGAAGCCAAGCCGATGGATCACTTCCATCCCATAAGCGCACCCAAGAATAGCAGATAGAAGTAAATTCTCTTACCATATTTGTCTCCATCTTCTCCTTTGGCACTGATCCGCCTCCCTAGCACCTGGATGTGTTTCCCACTGGTTCGGCTGTAGAGCTGATAAAGTCTGAGCTGTTTCCTGCTGACATCATCTCGTGCTCGCGTCTGATTTTCCACGTGTATCCGAAAATCCACATTTTCTTCAGCAACAAACATCTGATTTTCAAAACAAGGAAAACCAAACCATGAACGATGATTCCATTTTGAATGCACAGATGGTGCGCAGCATAGCCGATATTTTGGCTGACTAACTTTCAGAAGCCTGCAGACATTAATATTGATGCTGGCTATTGAAAACTGCAAGGTGACTCGTTGGGACCTAAAGCGGATATTGCTTGTTTCATGAGGGACTGGCCACAACAGCTTGGGATTAATGCAACCTGCCTGAAGGACAAAGCATTATCACTAAGACCTAATAGTAATAATAACAGTGTATTTGGTCAATGACCAGCAAAAAATTAAAAAAAAGAAATGCAACACCAAAGCAATATCTAATAGATGAGATAAAATACTAGCATAACAAAGATAAAATAACACATAAAAATGTGACATACACTGCTATAATGATGCATTAATTACTTGGGCAAGTGTAAATCTAAACTACTACAGACTATGAATTAAAATACGTATCATCTAAAAGCAAGATATCTAGTATGTGTTAAATCTAAAGTGATAAATAAAACAGAAGTGATTATTTCCGTAACCAGTTGTGCCTTGTTTTCATTGTGGCAAAACAGAATTTGGCTACTGCACAGGTGATAAACAGTTTCAAATCTTCCAGAAGATGGTTCATATAGAAATTGTCTGGTCTGGTCTTCCTGAAAATTTACATATTAGGGACAAAATATAAATAGACCTGATATCTATAGAGTTTACAATGTAGTAATACACGCAAAATGGTTTCAATCTCCTTGTCGCCACATGGGCAAGTATGCTCGGTTAATGAGATGTTATGCCTGGCTTTGAAAAATGCTATTCTCAGCTTGGGGAAAGTTAGATGTTGTAGATATTTTGCTAGTTTCCAAGTGCCCTTATTTATCCAAGTTCTACTTGTTGGGGTACCCTATTAACGTCAACCTGAAATTCCATATTCTTTATTTTTTGAGGGAGCAGTTGTTTGGCTTGGTCACATACTAAAGAAATTAGGAATGGTATAGAAAGCCCATATAACGCCAATTTCTGCTCTACAGCCTGTTTCCAGGGAAAAGGAAAATTGTCTATTAAAATTAAAGGGGTCAGTCCAACTGGGAAGAATTGGATTTTCAGCCAGTAATTTATCATCCTCCTCCAAGCCCTTACCCGGGTTGCAAGCATTCCTGTCTCAAGCCTTATCTGGGTATTTGGTATTCCATTGGGTGTAGCAAGGAAAAATCTCAAAAATTTTGTTTGCACTGTTTCCAGTGGGTCCTTCTTCACATAAATTCCTACTTGTGCCCCATAAAGGATTTGGGCCAGTGGTTTGGCCTCAAAAAGTTTTAATGTCGCAGGGATTACTTGTCCTCCCCTTGCATAAAAGAAGCGCTTGATAGCACTTGTAGACCTAAGAGCTAGCTGCAGTACATGATTCTGATGTGCTTTCCAGGTGCCTTTAGTGGAAAACCACCCCAAGGTATTTAAATGCAGTAACCTGCTCTAACTTGTGCCCTTCTGCTCTCCAGGATTGTTGGGTGGCTGTCTTAGCAAAGACCAGAATTTTAGATTTATCAAAATTAAGAACCAGAACAAAGAACCAAAATATTGCTGCTATTGCTCTTTTCAGCCCTATAGGGGGTTTGATCCAGCCAGGCAGTTCCTATGTGCTCAAGGAAAGGACCAGTGTGCTACAGCTGGTATTACCCTGATGCCCTGTAGCTGGGACATCATGATCAAATAGTAACATTGCCTGCCTAGAGCTGAACTGCTGACCATTGTTAGTCAAAGCTGTTCTTGTTGCCTACTGAAGGAGAGGAACCAACCATTTGGGGCAAATGTCAGTGTTCTCCGCTGAAACTCCAGGACTGGCTGCTCTGAGTTCACGCCACTCCTGCTTTCCAAAGGACCAGGAAACACCAATTTCTCCTTAAGGGCAGAGCATTACCAACGTTCTTTCTTGTTCCCCATGAAGAGTGGATCATTTTCTCTCCCAGATCTCCATTAGGCCTTTGTTTCCTCCTTTTTCTATTTAATGCAGTACTGTGCAGATGCAGCTGTGACAGTCCTAACTTCTTTACTGCTGCTTTTACCCTTGGTATTACTGTTTTTATTGTTTATTTCGTTTTATCTGATGGTTAATAATGCATTTTTCAATCTGTTTTTTAACCCCTCTCTGTGGGTTATATATGGATCTATCCCTGACCTCTCAAACAATTTCCTGTACTCCAGTACAGCACATTAAGGCACATGTACACAGACTGCAGAAGAATGACTTGCTTGGATCCCTCTCCTTGCTTTGTCCAGGACCTCTGCTGTGTTAGTGCAGGGCAGGGGTTCTCAAACTTTTTCAGACCGTGGAACCTGTTAGTTTAAAAAAAAAAAAAATTCCCGGAGCTCCTGATCTGCAAAATGGCAGCCATGGCATTTTTTGGTGGGAGAACAAGCCCTGCCCTTTCCGCCGTACTATAGGAAAACTGTTCCTGGCTGCGCTCAAGTGAATTTTTTTGTTTTGTTTTGCCCTGTAACAGTCCGTGGGAATATCCTTGAGAGATAAGAGAAGGAAGAGCCGCAGCCAGGGCAACGGTCAGATAAGAGACATCTCAGTCCACAGAAGGAATGGGGTTGTGGAAAGCATCTCAGAAGGGACACCCCCCCCCCCATCCTCTGGAAAGTAACAGCAGGAAAGGAGAGAAGTGCGTTCAGACTTGCAAGATTTGGTTACAGTAACATGTAAGTACTCATGGTTTTGGTTTCCTGTCTGGATTACCTTGAAAGGCTGACAAGCCTTTAATCTCTAGACCTCCATCAAGTTCTCTGGTGGAGAGGAAGTTCTTAGCTTGAAGCTCCTTTTCATTCCATTGGAAACCACTGAGCTAAGAGGACCCAGCGCTGAGCATCAGTGCCTGGAAACTACAGGTAGCCCAACTCAAGCTTTATGCAGGCATCCAACAATGCATTCCCTTGGCCCCCAGTAAATTCATTCCTGGCATTTTCACATCACCATGATTGCAAGGTGACCTGCGTGTGCCTTTCGGCCCCGGTTCCACAGCCTAGATTCTCTAGGGCTCCTCCTCACAAGAGCGAACTGGGCACATGCAGCAATCTCTAAATCCCACCCGGTGTTCTGCATCCAGCATTTTCAGGAAGCATGAATACAGTTCTAGAGGCAAATCAAGTCTACAACATACATGCCCAGCGTGTAAAAGCATAGTATAAAAGCAAGCGGAACCTATACTCCTGGATGATCCTCGTGATTACATGTATTCCAAGCATTTTGGGAAAGAACAGCAGTTAATTTATGATGAAACATGTGCCTGCTGTTGTGTGGGAGAAAGAGCATGCAAAGTCATGAATGTTCCTCACCCCAATTTTTAAAGTCAACCAAACTTTGATTTGTATCCCCTCTTTTGTTCAAGAGCTTAAGATGCTCCCTCCTCCCACAACAATCAGAAGAATACTGAAATCTCATACATTTTTCATATTCTTGCACAAAATTACATTCAAGAAACACACATTCACATGCACACACAGACATGCAAGTGCTATGCAAAGCTCTATTCTCATTTGTCCTCTTTTTAAATGTTGCATTTCCTCTTTCTTAACAATGCAAAAGTTGTCAAAATGGCCATCTTAGTTAACCTTGATATAATGAATATTTTATTTTCATTAGCTGCAAAAGGATAGCAATGGCTTCAACAAATGGAAAGGAATCTGAGTGTGGCCTTTACACAAGCCATTTGGATTGCCTTATTCTACCAAAGCATTTAATAATGAAAGTACTATATAAAAAGCGTTCAGACATCTCTGTGCTTTTAAAGGAGATTCACTTCTAAAAATTAAATATTTCTGCATTTAGAGCTCTTTCTGGTTTCAAAAAGTAAAGTAATGTGTTCCTTTAATACGCCAAAAACACTTCTTTTAACCTTCCAGACACTGCACCAGCCTAATAGTAATTATTTCCTTTATGACTTTCCAAACATATAAAATTATCTCAGCAACGTCAACATGAAATATCTAAGATGTCTCTTTCCTTCGTCTGGAAAGTAGGGTAATCACTATTTTGTTTTCATGGTTTGGGCAGATTTCTACTCTGCCAATTAGAAAATTTGCAAGGCCACTTCCTGAGTCTTTTTTTTTTCAGGTGTGTCTTGAAAAGTAACACATTATTATTTGCAACCATTTTCTTTTCCAGTCCTAACTGCAGCACCATTCATCAGCAAACTGCTAGGCTGAGGTTACTGATGGAATCATTGGTGGGATAGAGAGGACCTATTTAACAATGACGCATCCCATTTTTTGTAATGAAGTTAACTACTGTAGGATCATACTTACAAATAGTAGCATGTATGTGTATGTGTCTCTGTGTGTTTTAAGTCTTAGTTACATATGAGAACAGAGGAATAATGAATATGTGACATTTTTTGTCATCACAGTCTAAGTATTAATTTATGGAAATCAGGTTGCTATCGGAACTTCAGCCCATCTAACTCTTGCCACCTCCCTTTATTTTCACTGAAAGCAAAAAAAAAAAAAAGGAAAGAAGAATGTTTCTCACTGGATTGAGTAACAGAACCTCCTCTTCCCACCTTTCCTATCCTTTTATCCTGATTTTTCCCCATCCACCATGTAAGTTTCTAGATAGCTTGGAAGTTGACATAGACCATAGGTTTCCTTGATATATATGTATTCCTAGTGGCATGGGAAATTACTCTTATGCCAACTTTTGGTAAAAAAAATAGTATCAAGGCTTCAGCAGGCATCTGTTTTTGGCTTTTAGAACATAGAAATATAGTCCAAAACAGATACAGTTAAATTCTGCAGAAGACAAAACAGTAAGAGTTAAAGCCCAGAGCCAGAAGCAGGAAAAAGGGCAAGAACATGATAATCAGAGATCAGAACGATATTGTTTTATTTAGTGTGATGGGGAAAAAAATCTGTGAAATTCTGGGGGGAAGGGGGAAGGTGTGACATTCTTGCACAATATAGTTATGAGGTCACCAAAGAGACGGTAATATAAAAGCTTT